GTCAAACCAGCAGTGCGTGTCTGAAGAGATGAGCTGCCAAGTAACAGCACGTCTTCATCTGGGCTTCTTGTTTGTGTGAGAGTGTGTGTGTGTGTGTGTGTGGCAAGTTTGGAAAAAATGTGTGTGAAGTTCACGTCATTTGTTCACAACAACACAAGATGCCCAAAATTAGATGTGTGAGATTATTGTGCCTCATTTCATTTTGTTAAGATAATAATTGCCCTTTCTTATTTTTATTCTCGTCTTTCTCTCTTGACACCTTTTAAAAGCCTGAAGGAGAGTTGTTGGAGCCATATTGAATCATTTTCCTTATGTACTGCAAGTTTCGGACCATTGTTATTTTTCCCTGTTAGTACTCCTGCCTTTTTGGTAATCTCTGACTGTAAGTGAGGAAAGCACACAAAAATGGACATTGTGGTAAAAGTGTGGGAAATTGGTATAAAGTGAAATATTAAAAAATGTGCCACTGTTTCAGAAATCTAAATATTTCATTGCACCTCTATTCTTGCTATGAACTACACCGAATAAGCCTTGAGCCTTATTCGATTTATAACTTCTTGAGCGGCTCTATAGGAAACAATCCACAAAGATCTGACACAAGAGCTGAGAGATGAATCTGTCCCATCACTTGATCCACCTACTGTTTGCAAAGGACTCATCAGAAGAGGTGTCGTGGAAGGGTGGCCATCAGAAAAGTCATTCATAAGTACCCACGACTGGACAAATTTTAAGTTTCTGATTCAAACTGTTGTCAATATGTATGGAAACAATCAGGAGAGAGGTTCAATAGTGAGTGTCTACAGCAATTTGTAAAGCATGCTGGAGACAGTGGTGGTTTGGGGAAGAATTCCAGCCAGTAGTGTTGGAGATCTTGTGAAAATTGATGGAATTTTGAATATGGAAAAGTACAATCAGCTTGTGATCCACTGTGCAATATCATCTGGAAATGGTATTTTCAACATCTTTATTTTTATTTTTTTCATTTATACATGCTATTATATAAGATACTGTAACTTGTATACAATTACAGCTTTTGTATTATGTTTTTATTCTTTGGATAAGAGTCGTGCGGGTAATCCAAAGGATTTTGTGCTAACTCGGTAAGTTTTAAATATGTTGTGAATGAGTCTTGGTGCAAAACCCAGTGAATGAAGCTGGTGATAAGTGAATGGAGGTGTGACTTTTCAGTTGATTACAGCTAAACAAACATTTATACTACACAATAATAATATAGCAGAACAATTATTGTAAGCATTTTTCATACTATACATGAAAAAGCATTTGTTTCTATTTTCATTTATAATTTTCACAGCGTGAAAATTATTTGTTCCATCAGTTATTTTGGCTTTATTGTGTTTTCCCTCTCCTTCTCCTCCGCTTTCATTTCCACTCTCAGTTGTTTCACAGCTGGATGCAAACTGCCAGTTTGATCTACAAGCAACCAATCAGCTCGTAATCTTAGACACTTTGAACTCACACAGTGCAATCAGCTGCAGGTTTAAAGGCTCAGAAAAAACCAATCAGTCTCCAGTCTCCAGTCTGACATGATTTTGAACCTGATTTTGTTTGTCATATGCGCTTGTGTGGGCTTGTTTTTCTGTGTTACAGTTAACCTGTTCTAGTCTGCAAGCATTACAATTGTGGATTGTACAATAAAGTAAATACTATATTGAAACTGTACTGTATATGTGTGCAAGATGAACCAAGGGTGTGACAATAAGTCTGTCCTTTGGTGGAAGTTGCTCTCATTACCTTTAAACAGTTCTCTCTTTAAAACACACACACACACACACACACACACACACACACACACACACACAGAGCACTCTGTCAGGCTAGACAAGCTAATCCCAGATAAGAGAGCAAAAACAACCCTTTTCATTAATGGCATCAGCTCACCAACAAAGGCTGGCTGACAGGCTGGCTAACTAAAGCACAAACAAACACACGCACGCCCACACAGGATAAAGTTATTTGAAGACACTAAAGTGACTGAGAAAGATCCAGGCAAACAATGCCCTGACAGAAACCCAGTTTTAAATGCAGCAGCAAATACGATTTCTTTCTTTAAATCCAACTTTGTATTTTGATGTGCACCGTAATTATCGGTGACATTTTTATCGCAACAAATCAACGGTCCCAGTTTAACTGTGTTAACAATGATTGACTTCTTTCTGATAGTAATTCAGCTTATATATACACAGTTGCTGAAATCCTAAACATTGTTGATGAGTTCGGGCAGTCTGAGCTGTGGAAAAAGAATACACGTTGGTTTATCTTGAATAATTGAAAATGTTTGAGTGCTCCATCCAGATACACTGATTCAACTTTCCGATTTTTCCTTACGTACATTATTGAGCATGCAGCAAACTCGTGCCAAGAAGGTAAATCCTGAAATGCTGAACCAACCCTTCATGTACTGAATAGCACTGGTGTATTGAATAGTAAGTGCAGCTATAAAGCATAGATGTTCAGTAATTTTTCAGTCAGTGTTACATTTGCGCATTTGAAGAAATCAGTTGATGAACATTATCAGTAGAAAGCAGCCGATGGAGATTCTCTGGAGCTGAAAATAAAGCCAGCTCTAACTCTTCCAGGCACAACTTCAGCCTTCCTTCAAAATGGAGTCAATCCCCATTGACTCTGATGTAATGTCCCAGCATTACAGCATCAATGTTTTTACAAGCCTGCTACATAAAACTAACTAACTAATAATAATAATTGTGTTGGGTCATGTACGGTTTGATTGATGTCCTGACACCGGAAGCTGATGCTGAGTGGTCTCTGCTAGCGTCACCTCAGCTAATTTGAGAGATTTTTAAAATACCTTTCGGGCTATTTTTAAATCGTTTGTCTGATCTTTATAAAGTCCTTGCAAGAAGTTTGAGCTTCAGCTTTGCTGAGTAAAATTCTAACATCCCAAGTCCATTAATTAGGACTAGCTAGCTAAGTAGTTTATGGAGGCAACTTGATAACCAAGCTAACTAGCCTTTAGCTGATAAATTAGCACTCCACTCTTTTTTCCTAATATGGTTTCAAAACTAACATGGTGGCATCTAGAACAGGAGATAAAGTAATAGTTCAGTCAAAATTTATTTAATATATAATCATCTCACAATACAGCAATTAGCACCATATGCCATTTTATTATAAAAGCTGCACCTCATCTATGACCATTGTTAATCTGTCCCTGGAGTCAAGCAGTAGATGTGATAATGTCCAAATACTTTGGAGTGAACTAAATGTGCAATATGCTATACTGTCCGTTGAGCAAGACACTTAATAAAGAAAACAAAGCAAAGAAAGAACAAAACAAAACAAACAGACGCTGCTTAAGGATGTTTAAAGTTTAAAGAGCTGCAAAAGCTTGCCATTTGTTTGTGAATCCTTTTCCAAATAAAATCCACAACAGAAGTGACCGACAAGAAATGACAGTCAGTCATACATAAAGAACAGATTACAGCTATACCTTTCTACTCACTATTTCTCCTTCCTGCTTCCATTGATGAACTGCAGTAATGCCTCTCTGCCTCCAGAGGGCAAATTCCCACAAGTAACCACTGAACTGTGAAAATTCTGCAGTGAATGTGAAAAAATGCTGCCGTTCTCCCTTGTCCCTTTTCCCTCTGTCACTCTCTTTTGAACTGGGTGCCTCTACTTTATTTATTGCACGTGTTCATTTGGTGTCTAAATTTCCATATTCATAGCTAAAGCATCCTTTGTCGTTATACATGTTCTTTGTTCCTTGGATTATCTTTAAATTAATGCATATATTTTCTTTTCCACACTGTGCGTGTTTCTCAAAGGCATTTTCACACTGCAGGCGCATCACCTTCTGTTTGCATAATAATGTCTGATGCTTTCACCACCTGTGCTTATATCAGATCCTGGCAGTGATGTAACATTAGTTTTAAATATTCTTCCCCCAAGATTAAGATACACTTTATTTGGCTTCACCAGAAAAACAAAACACTTTTTCATTCTTCAGTTCTGTGAAAAATTATTTAAAAAAGCAGGGCAAACACACACACACACACACACACACACACACACACACACACACACACACACACACACACACACACACACACACACACGAAACAGAAGCCTAAAAAAAACTACACATTGGACAAACACCCATTTCCAGGAGCATCTTTCATTACTTGGCGTTTAGTGTCTTGATGCTGACAGGAATTAATGTTGTGTTTCAGCTGGTTATGTACCAGACGCTAGAAGCTTAAATTTACTGTATGAAATGTGGGTAGGGCCAGACGCTATTTTTTATACTTACTTGGTCAAGGCCTGCACAAAAATCAGCTGCAGGCAACAACGATTCTTAACACCAATGATTTTCATGGCAGATTTAATCAACTGGCCAGTTTGCGATTTCAGATGAACTCATCCCACAGCAGATGATACTCTCTCAAACTGCCTGGCAGAAAACTATCATCAGTTTCTGTTCAACACTACAGAGCTTCTTTCTCTACTCCTCTCTATCCCCAAAACACACACACACACACACACATCCTTGTTCTTCTGCCTTTGTTGGGCAGAAACACACACAGTCACTCTCACGATTACTCTCGACGTTATCACCCATCTGGTTAGTGTTTGTCCAAACCACACAGGCCAATCCACTCTCCAGTAACCAAAACACACACACACAAACACATGATGCCATGAAACCACGAAATTACTCTAATTTGTTTTTAGACAGAGAGGGACATTTTGATTGAGGTTCCTGATATTTTAGGTTGCACCGATTGTTAGGGTGCAGGCAACAGAGGACGTCTGAGAGCTCAGACTGTAAAACTGCAGCTGTTCATACTAAAAAGAATTTACACCACACTCTCTCACTTTCTTTCACACGCACACACACACACACACACACACACACACACACACACACACACACACACACACACACACACACACACACACACACTCCAGTTAAAATCAGAGTTGGACACAGGGCTTCTGAGTCTCGCCGTTGGTCTTACCTGCGCTTACAGTGATGGCTTCTATGAACTGGTCTCTCCAGCTGTTGGTTCCCACCAGCAGAGCCAGGTTGGTCTTCTTTATCAGCTTGTCCACTGTGTTCTGCCAAAGGAGAGACAGATTATCAGTCATTTGCATCTAGCATAGGAAATCTCTTGGATTTCGACACAGCATGAAATAAGAAACTGGCACTCAGCTTTCACAGGAAATGCATTTTTTTATGAATTTCCAGGGACATAATAAAGGTGAAAACATAAACATACTCTGTATCAGTTTCATACAATTCATGACTGAAGCTATAAGACGCACACTGCAGTGAAATATTAAAATTCAAGATTCTCTTACAGCTGCATCATTCCTGTGCATCGCTTTATACATCTTCCCCAGCCTTATATTTGTGATATTTCTGCAAGAATTCAAAATATAGTTTTCACTACCATTTATTAAATAAACATTTAGATCTACAGTAGACTTGTTTGTTTTTCTTTCCATATATGTCTCTGTTTACGTCCATTTTCCTTCCTTTTTCTTTCCACGGTTTCCTTCCATGTGCATTATTTTACAGTATTTACATTTTTATTACAGTCTTCTTCAATAGGAAGAAGCTAAAACAGACTGGGGTAACACAAACAATCCAGCATGCACACACATATACTAATTAGTGAGCACTGGGGGAATGCACTCTCCTTTTCTGAGGGAAGCTGTGATGCTACTTGTGTTGAATGGAGCTTAGGTGTGTAAATAGGGCTTCTTAGCTGTGGACACAAACATGCACAGACACAGCCAGCTTTACTCTGCCTATTGTATCTGGAGTGTTCGCTTAACTGCATTCACCTAGGTTTTGTGCATAATACCGTCTTCTACGATTGCCATTTTATCATTCTCTAATGCTGTTACTTTTATCAGCTTTGCTTTCCATCTCTTTTCTTCGCTCCCTCAATTACTTTGGACTCAGTCAGACTGAAACATGCATATGCATGGGTTTCCTGTGTGTATCCATGTGAATTTCCGCTTTATTTTGGGAGGGCCCCATGCTGGGACTGAGGAACGTTATGTATTTTTCTTCTGAAAGACACATGAAAAGACTTCTTGACTCTGTGTTTATCTTAGAAAGGGGTCAAAATCATCAAGATTGGTTTCATCATAGAAATCTAACAGACACAATGTTTGCTTTAAATGAGTGAAAACTAAATTATGTCAAAATCAAAAGAAAATAAGTACTAGTGAAAATTATACTTGAGATAAAAGCTGCAATTTGCACATTGTAAAGTCAGTATTTTGTGGCTTATGTAATTTAATTATAACTTAACTAAAAATAAATTGTTTTTCCTTTGGATGACAGTAATTACATAACTACATAAATGACTTGAGAAGGAGTAAGTTAATATTTTGGGATGACAGTTTTTCTTACAATACTTTTCTAATCTTCAGTCAGTAAGCTGAACTGGAGTTTAGTTTTAATCCTCCAGCAAGTGGTGCTATATAATCCAGTGATGATTGAGCTAAAAGTCACAAGTAAAATTAAAAGATAACACAGTCTGACAGGCATAAAATTATACTTTTGTATCAACATAATTCCCAATGAGCTTTTATCCAAAAACTGGTATACAGGTCCTGAGTGAGTGCCTATACCCATCTGTAGAACAACATGGAGGCTCTGACATAGAAATAAGAAAGCTTGCCTAATAGAATTTAGATTGTGTTGAAGAGTAAATGTGGTCATATTGTAGATTGCAGTTCAATTTCATGAGAAGTGTAGAAATTCTCATGATTTTGAAAGTCTTATGAGAGACTTTTTGCCTTCTAGGCATTTCCATTTCTAGTCCCACATTTCAATAAATTGCTCCAGACATTTCTCATTTTCCCAGCACCATATTTAAAGAAATAATCAGTGGCTCAAGACTTTATTATTATTTATTTATTTATTATTATTGTGCTAAAAACACAAGGGTAAAAACATTGTAAAACTTTTTTTCCTTTAACCTCTCATCCTTGTTCAGTCTCTAATGTCACTCTACATCTGCCAGTGGACAGTACTTTAGATAACTATAGGATCTCTTTACACACACACATACACATACACACTGAACTACTTGACACACTATAGTATCCTGTCAAGTGGCAAGCTATTAGTGGGTGCTATTAGCTGTCTTTTTAGAGTGATTGTGTAGGTGGAGCAGGAGCAAAGAACATGCATTAGTACACACAGTCCCACACATACACACACAAATGTAACATGGATGGTAATTACATCTGCACTCGTCTTAAGAGTCTGTGTGGGTGAAGGGAAAGGAGGAAATTAAGCAAACATAACAAATATCCAATTATTTCCTATATGTATCAGAAAATTTTGTGCATGAATATGTTATATGAGCTTTATTTTAATCCTTTGTTGCCCTTTTGTGAACATATTAGCATATTACTACACTCGCAATAGACAATAATAATAATAATAATACTAATAATAATAACTTTATTTGTAAATCAAAATCAAGTTCTCCATATTTTGACTAAAACCACACAATAAAAAATAATCATACATGTTCCAGCATACAGACATGCAGTCAGCCATATGGTCTTATATTAATTCCAACATACACCCTTCCGTACACCAATTTGAGGGTCTCGAAAAGCGCTATATAAATGCAATCCATTATTACTATTATTATTATTAGATGAGAACTATGGCCAAAAATAATGGGAGAAAGATTAAGGAAAAGCTAACCTATAAAAAGGAGTTTTGAGCAGTCATGTAAAACAAACCACTGCTTCAGCCGATCTAATAATGTGAGGAAGGCTTTTCCAAAGTTTAAGAGCTACAACCTCAAAAGCACGATTGCATGAAGTTTTCATCAGCAGCCTAGCTGTTGCATTCTAAACTAGTTGAAGACACACAGAACGAAAAACATGTAAACAGCATGTCTTTCATCGTCACTTCCCTCTCTCACACCAACCGGTCGCAGCAGATGGCCCCGCCCCTCCCTGAGCCTGGTTCTGCCGGAGGTTTCTTCCTGTTAAAAGGGAGTTTTTCCTTCCCACTGTCGCCAAAGTGCTTGCTCATAGGGGGTCATTTGATTTTTGGGCTTTTTCTCTGTATGTATTATTGTAGGGTCTACCTTACAATATAAAGCGCATTGAATTGAACTGAACTGAATTGAATTGAATTGAAAGACAGGATAAGGAATACTGAGACATGTATGTGAAAACAATAATATATATGGGAGAAAATTAAAGCATGTATTCAAAGTTCCAAATTGTTGGATAACAGACAACACGTAGGTTTTGAAAGCAGACAGAGATATGTCTGCTTTTAAATATCCTATTGTGTCATGAAATCTTATTGTTCAAGGATGTTTGAATCCGAAAGTTATACTTCAGAGTAAAACATCCTCAGTTTTCCTGCCATCTAAACTTGTTTTATTGTCCTCAGATGAGATCTGTCATCTTTATCTCACCACACAAAGGCTTCATTTCAATCCAAAGTACCTAAACTGCATGCAATCTGTGTCCACTGCCATGTGCAAACTTACAAAAACTATGCAAACCAGTCAGCTGATATATGAAAAAGCATGGGATGTCTTTTTCTCCCGTTTGACTATATAGGCTTCGTTTCGGTATATTTGATGTCAGCAATGCAAAAGATTACACACTAAATGTCACAGTGTAACAGGATAGCTTTCTCCCTAGTATAAAGGGCAAATATAGCCCATATCCTTTTGTAAATCAATGCTAATGTGTCAAAGCACAATGAAAAAAGCAACACACAACTCTATATATGGCTACAGAGTTTTAAAAATGGTGGCTGCTATAAAATTCTGCTTACTCAACCAATCAATTCACCTCTACAAGCTGTATCCCCCGGAGTTCCTGTGAAGTGAAAAATGCTACCATTTAAACAGAGTCTTTTGGAGCTCTGACTTTTGTTCCTGTAGTAGAAACACACTTAGTTCCTGCACTGGAAATATAGTCAATGTGGCACCGCCTTACCTTGAATTCATATGATTCCTCGATGATCACCTCCAGTTTGACATGATCTCCCAACATTGGACGGCCCATTTCAGCTATGCGGCGTTCCTCTTCATCTTTTCCTGTCAGCGGCTCTTCTTCCACTTCTTCGTCTTTCTGCTGTTCCTCTGAAGAAACAAAACAGGGGACACAAACAGTTAGAAAAGAAACAGCAGTAAGCCAGTCAGTTGTGTTAATGCAGATTGGAATTTATGCAAGAGATTAGCTGAAAAAAAGATAATAAAGTGAGGGAAGCTAGTTGTGTAGCACACCAGAAGAAGTAGTTTCAAATAAGAAATAAGCTGATATTGTTATTTTATTTATTTATTTATTTTTTAAGTTTTCAAAATCAGTTTTCTCAAAAGTTAGCATGTCAGGTGAAACCATGTCAGGTGAAGTTGTCAGGTACAACTTCAAGGTCACATTCTGGATGATCTTGTTCTAGTGGAGTGATATCTCTTATACTACAATGAAGAGGACTTTCTTCTTCCAGTCTTTATGCCAGTCACACTGCAGTTACCATACCAAAGTGTGATGTAGCTGTTCAGGATGCCCAAACAGCTTTTATTGAGACCCAACATTGCCTCCATAAAACGGGGTTCTCACTTGCTTCATTTACCAACCTCTACACCTTTGGAGACAGAGCCTTCAGTGTGTCAGCGCCTACCCTGTGAATTCCCATCTGAGCTCGGCAGTGTCCCTTCATTTAACTTCTCAAAATCTTTTCAAACAGGCCTCCAACCTCTAGCCTGTTTACTTATTTCATCGTAGTTGCTGATGAGATGATGTGCGCTAGTGTTGTATCATCAGTCTTGTTTCAGCAAAGTATGGAGCAACGGACAGAGCACACAGCCCCGTGTGACCCCTGTGTTCAGTTTGATGAGGTCTTACTGTAAGCATTTACTGTTTGCACAGTATGCCAACTGTAAGGGCTCCAGAGAAGGTGGGAGGCTGGTTTTGATAAGATCCATGACTAGTCGGATGAATCTCTTCACATTAGTTGCACCTGCAGGTTTTCTTCTCTGGTGTAAGTTTCAGTGCCTTAAACCTCCCATAGAACTCATTCAGCTGGTTTTGGTGGGAGGGTTGTGTCGTCCACTTGCGGTATTATTTTACAGCCCGAATCTCCTGCTACATGAGCCCAGTGTCCCTGGAATCACAGAATTTGCTTTCAATTTTTCTTATGTATGCCAACTTAGTCTTCTTGATGGCTCAGTAGAGATCAGTTTTTGCCAACCTGAGCACTACTTTTACCCCCAATCAGAAGGCAGCATCCTTAATTCTCAGCTCTTTAAGGCTCTCTGATGACATCAGAAGAAGGGTTTGATAACTGTAACAACACACATACACTTGGAGCATACATGCTCCAATCAGTACTTGCAAAAAAGTCCTGAAGTGCTGTAGTTGTATCTGGCCAGGATGCAACTACTGGTCTGATCGGATTTGCCTTAATGCGTTTCAGTAATGTTCTCTATGCTGGAAAAAGCATAACAGAAATGTGATGTTTGTATACACCATATTAAATGTGTTATTGCGCCTGGTTGGAACACGCTATTGGAATTTGGATAGAACAATTTAAGTTTATGTATATGAAATCTCCAGCAACCACCTTGAAACTGTCTGAATGAACAGTCTCTAGCTCACTGATGGCACTGTACAGCTGCCACAGGATGTCCTGGGTGGTGACAGTGAATTACTATAGCTGGTAGAAGGGTTGGAATTTCACTATCATATCTTTCAAAAGAAAATGAGTTGTGACAATTCCACTGTTGCTGCACCACATATAATGTAATGTATACACACAGTCCTCCACCTCAGGTCTTACTGGTGCTTACAGAAGGCTGTTAGTCTGTCCAGCAGGAATGCGACATCAGAAATGTTGCTACGGAGTCAGGTTTTGGTCAAAACAAAAACAATACAGTGTCTCGCATCCTGCTGTGTGTGTACTTGCAGCCACAGATAATCCATCTTATTCTCTAAGGAATGAACATAGGCAAGTAAGAGTGATGGGACTGATGGTCTGTTTGGGTTAGCTCGGACGCTTTCTTCATTCACTTGTGTGTCTGTGCACACTGCTTCATGTACGTCATACCCCACACAGCTCTGTCAGACCAGCTCAGTGATCTCAGCTTTCTTCAAACACAAAGTCTCCCACAGACTTCTCAAGGTTACGCCTCATTTTCAGCAGCATCTTTCGGTTGGTCCTTAATATGAGACACTCATGATGCTCAAGACAAACACAACAAATATGATGCCGTGTATTTTCCTCTAAAATTCCAAACTTTTTATCTGTAATGAATACACGGGCGATCGTGGCTCAAGAGTTGGGAGTTCACCTTGTAATCGGAAGGTTGCCGGTTCGAGCCCCGGCTTGGACAGTCTCGGTCGTTGTGTCCTTGGGCAAGACGCTTCACCCGTTGCCTACTGGTGGTGGTCAGAGGGCCCGGTGGCGCCAGTGTCTGGCAGCCTCGCCTCTGTCAGTGCGCCCCAGGGTGGCTGTGGCAACAATGTAACTTGCCATCACCAGTGCATGAATGTGTGCGTGAATGGGTGGATGGCTGGACTTTGGGGTCCTTGGGGACTAGTAATGCGCTATACAAATATTTACCATATAACACAAAACCCTCAGCGTACCAGGTACAAATACATTTTGATCACTAATTCTTCAAAGAGAGCTGGTGATCATATGCCATTATTGGCACTTTATTCATAATTGCCACTTCAAGTAGCAATCTTTGTCTTAAATTATTAACTAGAAGTGTCTGCAATTTTAACTTATTTAATTAGCTTTATATTCTTCAACTGTTTTAGCACCATTACTAAATGGAAAATACTTCCACTAGTTCCCCTGTTATCTCATTATCCCTGTCGCTCTGTCTTTCACACGCCACCCCCATCTCTTTTCTTTTCTCTGTCTTTATGGTCTGTGCCAGTAATTGAGATTCACCGTCGAGAAAGAACTCACTGCTGGTATCAAAGGGTGAGGCGTCAGACAGAATGGCCTTGATCATATTTTTCACGGGGGAACAGTTATCCATGCTGTTGCCTTCCATTATTGTGCACTGCATTGTGGGTCTACACCAACCCGTTGGTCATTTGTTCCCCTCAGTTGGGTTTGCTGCATGGAGCTTATAGCTCACTTGCACAAACAGCCATGCAAATGTCTGCCAAGAGCACTTTCATCAAACTTGTACTCCACAAGCAAGGGGCACAATTTAGAACTGTGGTGCCCAGCGTGTTCATGTAGCAACAGAGTAAAGTCTAGGGCAACCAAAAGGCAGCCTGCTATTTTTCTTTTTAATTACTGCAGTATACAAAAGCCACCTGTTAATAACAAAGCATTCACCAGGAATAAATTCCTAGCAGACTTCTTTGTTAGCCAGCTGTAGCACACAAAACAGATTAAATTAAATTAGCTGAGAATATCACCTGCCTCTTCAGTCTATGCAGATGCTTTCACTGTTCCTATACCTTAGAACCACTTTCAACACCACACTGTCTGCCCATAGCCTTTAAACTGCAGGGAAAATATAGCTGGTTCACTTCTGCCTCACTACCAAATAGATAACAATGGTCATCTAACATTTCTGTTTTTCTCCTTTAATGGTGCAGTGTGTCCTGTAATAAGTCCAACATTTTGTTGACCTATCAGTCCACCCTGACCTTCACCATATAAGGATTCTGTGGCTTAAAATTACAGCTATGTCACCTCACTTCCTTTTTTGACCTGGCCAAAGGTCGACGGGTTACAATAAACTGTGTCTGTAAACAACCATGTGTATTTTTTATACTAACAGTCACTTCAGATATGACGGCAGTCTCTAAAAATAAAATTTTTATCTCAGCAGACTTTCAATGTTCGCTTTTTAGCTAACTTGAATTTACAATATAGTGATTAGCGCACACACATAAACACACACAGCTGCACCAAAGCTAATTTAATGAACTCTAATACCAGCATACAATAAGTCATATGTGAGATGAGGATGACCTGGCAGTATCCTCGTTAGCTACACTCCTTCTGTGTGAGCGTATCTGTAAATGAATCTGACAGAGGTTGAATGTTGCAGGGTAAGATGCTGCTTCTTGTCAAAGCTACTGTCTGCACAATTTATCATTCGGATTTCTTCTCCCGTTGTCCTTCTCTGTGCTCCTTTGAAGCTAATTCAATTAATACTACTGAATATGCTTTTAAGTCAGGACAGCTATACAGAAATATTACTAAAGCATTTAAATATGCGTTGAATTCAGCATTGTACATAATTAGATTCAAAATTGCATACTTTTAAACTTTTTGATAATGTATATTTGGATGAAAACAGACCTAAAATATGAGGATAGTATACGCTGTGGTATGTGTATTTTTGTTGCGTAACATTTTATACCTCCAACTCCAGCTGTCCTACTCTTTAAAATCTTTTTCATCTCCGGCTCTCATAATTAAAATCTCTAATTTGTATTCACCCTTTTCTCTGTTTGATTCTAATTTTTTCTCCTTCCTGATTTGGCTTTGTTTCAAGGGGGCTTCAGAAAACTGTGAAAGTTAAAAAACAAGGAACACATCACTAATTCAGGTAGCAATACTGACAATATGACGCAGCTCTCGAGTTAATTGTGCTCTGTGGCATATTCAGTGGGAACAAATGAGCCCATGAGGTACAGTTAGTACAGGTTAGTGCTCTCTGTCCCGCTAGCAAGAAGTCACAATTTGTACTTTTGAAAATGTAGAAAGATTATACTGTCAACTTTGCCTGCTAGGAAACAGAATTATTATTATTATTTCACTTTATTGTCCTTTCCTATCTTCCACAATGGACTGCAAATACCAATGCTAGACAGTTACAAGTTTGTATTTTATGCGACCTTTTGCAGATGTGTCTCTGATTTTTTTTCTTTAGAAAGAACCTTTTAATTCTAAAAATCTAAGCTCTAAGCTGTTTTCACACATTCATTGTGCCCGTTTTCAAGACATTATACAGTGTCCAACTTACCCAGATTGGACATCAAACTAATTTTTACTTTACAAGCTCCTAATAGCAAGTTCCTTAATCCCTGATTGATACCCTTTGAGTGTGAGTAGTAGAACTTCCTGCATGGTTTACGTAAGCCTCACATGCATATCCAGTTG